TGAGGAGGATGAGAGGATGAGGAGGATGAGGGTGTGAGGAGGATGAGGAGGATGAGGGTCTGAGGAGGATGAGGGTCTGAGGAGGATGAGAGGATGAGGGTCTGAGGAGGATGAGGAGGATGAGAGGATGAGGGTCTGAGGAGGATGAGGAGGATGAGGAGGATGAGAGGATGAGAGTCTGAGGAGGATGAGGAGGATGAGGGGGATGAGGAGGATGAGGAGGACGGGGTCTGAGGAGGATGAGGAGGATGAGGAGGACGGGGTCTGAGGAGGATGAGGAGGATGAGGGTTTGAGGAGGATGAGGGTCTGAGGAGGATGAGGATGAGGAGGATGAGGGGGATGAGGGTCTGAGGAGGATGAGGATGAGGAGGATGAGGGGGATGAGGGGGATGAGGGTCTGAGGAGGATGAGGAAGATGAGGAGGATGAGGGTGTGAGGAGGATGAGGAAGATGAGGAGGATGAGGGTCTGAGGAGGATGAGGGTGTGAGGAGGATGAGGGGGATGAGGGTCTGAGGAGGATGAGGAGGATGGGGAGGATGAGGGTTTGAGGAGGATGAGGAGGATGAGGGGGATGAGGAGGAGGAGGGTGTGAGGAGGATGAGGGTGTGAGGAGGATGAGGGGGATGGGGCCCTGCTCCTGCCGCTGTGCCATGTTCATCTCTGACCCTGTCTTCGCTCCCCCTGGCAGGCCTGCCACCCCCACTGCCACCAGGGCTGTGGCTCCGGCCAGTCTTGGGCTTCATGCCTGAAGGCTCCCTGGGGTCCTAACTGGGCATTGCGGCTCCTGAGTGCTGCCCTCCCTGCGGCCCGGTATCTGGGGTCGTAGAGCCCTAAGCAGGGGTGCATGTCCAGTCTGGACACACACCGCAGGCCTGTCCACTAGTGGCTGGCCAGAGGTGTCTGCTGCCCACCTTCGTGTTCACCCACAGACTGGAGTCTGGCGAGCTAGTGCTCCTCAGCCAAGCTCCATCCCCAGGACGTGGGAGTCTGAGAGGTGTGGATGTCTGTGCTGGCAGCCCTAGGGGGCAGGCGGGGCCACACTGGCGTCTAGACAGAGTGGGAAAGGTACAAAGTGGCCGTGGCCTGGGGACCGTGGAGGGCACCATGGGGGCCGGCGCTCTTACCCAGCTCACAGTGGACACCCTCATACCCTGGGCTGCAGAGGCACAGGTACCCGGCGGCACGGTCCTGGCAGGAGCCCCCATGCAAGCAGGGCTGGGAACGGCACTCATCTGCTTCTGAGGAGAAACCACAGAATGAAGCCACATGGCCGGTACTACGCCCAAGAGAATTAGGGTGGATAGGAATTCATCCAAGGAGCTGGACAAGGTCTTTGCTGTCCCCTGGTGGGTGGAGACACTGACTGGACAGGTGTTTAGAGGAGGCGGTCTGGGCCCCAGGTCTTCAGCCCCGACCACGGTGGCTCACGGTGGCCTGGAGGCCTTGCGGAACACATGGAGTTAACTCCCAAGGCCTCAGCAGCCTGGCAGATCTCACCACCGCAGCACAGAAAGGCCATTTGTGGAACAGTGCATTCAGGGGCAATCTGCAGATGCAAAACGTTCGCCACGGGGCTGGGAAGGTGGCTCAGTGGTACAGCGCTTGCCTTGCATGCCTGAGGCCCTGGGTTTGATTCCTCAGCACCACAGGCAAGAAGAAAAAAGCCGGAAGTGGCGCTGTGGCTCAAGTGGTAGAGCGCTAGCCTTGAGCTGAAGAGCTGAGGGACAGCGCCCAGGCCCAGAGTTCAGGCCCCACGACCGGACCCAAAAAAAAAAAACAACAAAACGTTCGCCACAGGTGTTTCCTGTATGGGAACCTCGCTCTGGGGTGTGTGTGTGAATTTAGCCTGAGAAAAACCCAATGGTAGTGCTTACTTAGTAACAGTAGCAACCCTGTGGACCTGGAACTAGCCCCACACACCCGGGGGCTTGTCCACACAGCTGGGGCTTGTTTGTCCGTCTGTCCACACACCCGGGGGCTCGTCCACTCAGAGCTCCTCCTCAAAACCAGCCTTTAAGAGTCTACAGGCCACCTGAACAGGGTGGGGTTTGTTTTTGTTCCTGTTCGTATCACAGCATCTTATCATCAGGCCTTGCTGGGGTCCTGGCAGTTTTGGTTTTGCCGCTGCTGGTTGATGGTGTCTCACAGCATCCCTCAGCTTGGCAGGCACTGGCCTGTGCTCTCGACAGCTTGCTATCATAACAGACATGGCCCTGTCCATGGGTTTGTATGGAATTGCTGGGACACAGGCAGAGTACCAAGTCATTTTCCAAGTGCCTAGGCCAATTTCTAACAAATCCTGCTGGTCAGGCCTGTCACCCTAGTTACTCAGGAGGCTGAGATCTGAAGATCACAGTGGGGGCAGGGAAGTCTGTGAGACATCTCCAATTAGCCAGCAAAAAGCTGGAAGTGGAGCTTGGCTCAAGTGATCGAGCACCAACTTTGAATGAAAAAGAAGCGAAGAGCTCAAGGCCCTAAATTTAAACCCTGGTACTGCGCAAATGCACACATGAAAAATCTATTCCTATATTTCACACAAGTTATAGTTTTTAGAAAACTCTTTAAGCCTTTGCTCCATTTGAAGTGACTACTATGTGTTGAGGCAAATGTTACTATTTTTCCATGTGCAGAACCATTAACTCTAGCTGTGTTCTGCACCTTGATCCTGGCTCCTGTGACCTCCTAAACCCCCTTCCTTTTTTTAGATTTTCTGTATGTACGTTTGCACCTTTTCTTCTCCCTTCCTTTCCTAAGCAATGCCTTCCGGTCCCTTTGTTCATCAACCTCCAGGAACAAGTAGTGGACAACTGGATCTTCCTGAAGATGGAAAAAAAATATTTTGCCTTAAGTTTGGTAGCTGTAGACTTCTCAGAGATGCCCTTTATCAAGCTGGATAAAAGCTTCCTATCTCTCTACTCATTTATTGAGTTTTTAATAATAAACTTTGCCAAGTGCTATTACATTGAGCTCAACATCATACGGTTTTCTTCCTCTCTCTTAGTATGAGACATATCAATTTTCAGATGTAGGCCCAGCTCTATTCCCGATAAATCCCACTTGGTAGTGATAACGGTGTCCTAGTTTTTATTTAGTAATACCCCATTAGGATTTTTCATCTATGTTCATAGGAGTATTAGCCTAGAATTTCTAGTTTCATAATGTCTGTCTGGATTGAGCATCAAGGCAATATTGTCGTCCTTCCTGTGTTTTCCAGGAGAGCTTGCATAGTTTGTATCATTCTTTTCTTAAATCTTGAAAGCTTGTTTGCTGGGCTGGCCTTTTCTGCTCTCAGAAGTTTGCCAATGCTGACTCGGCGCACTGGGTGGCATCAGCCCTAACGTGGCTTGGGCTCAGTGTTTCGCCATGGGAACAGGTTTTAGCTGCTGCTTTGAGGTCTGTAAGCACCCTGTGTTGCCTTGATCCATTCAAGTTCTCCTGTTCTGAGCATATTACGTCCTTTACGCTAGGACTTCACTTTTATTTGCGTAGCAGTCACCAATGTCCTCAGTACCTTTTAAATCTCACTGAATCTTCACTGTCACTGGAAACAGCTTTTATTTGTGCTCTTTGTTGTCCCTGCCCAGTCTTCACAGAGATCATCCTTTTTATTAGAATACTACCTTTATTTTTTCTTGCATCTGACTTGTTTCATTAATTATGGCTTTTACCTTTATTGCTTCTTTCCCTCTTAATTTCTTTAATATCATTTGCTACTTGTGTCCCGGTTTCTGAAGTCAGACATTTCTTTTTTTTTCTGGGGGGGGGGGTCTGGTCGTGGGGCCTGAACTCTGGGCCTGGGTGCTGTCCCTCAGCTCTTCAGCTCAAGGCTAGAGCTCTACCACTTGAGCCACAGTGCCACTTCCGGTTTTTTTCTTTTTGCTTATGTGGTGCTGGGGAATCGAACCCAGGGCCTCATGCATGCAAGGCAAGCGCTGTACCACTGAGCCACCTCCCCAGCCCCTAAAGTCAAGACATTTCTTGATGAGCCTGGAGTGTATCTTCTCTTCTCACACTGGCAAGAAGGCCAGATACTTCCCCCGAAGCGCTTCTGCCAGAACCTGCCAGTTGGCTATGTAAAGCGTTGTAAATCATTTAAGAATATTTTTAGCACCTGTTATGACTTCTTTGTCTTATGAGCTACTGTGAAATATCTCAAAGTACCTCAGATCTGCATGCTGCTATTAGTAGAGAATGTATTAGCTTAAGCCATTAACTGTGTAGTTCAAATATATCTTTGCTGACTTTTTCTCCTTAATGTGCCATTAAGAGACATGGGTCAAAAACCTCCCAGTTTTAAGTGTAAGATTCTGCGACCTCTGCAGGGGCTGGCTGCCACAGAGGTGGCGGTGTGGCTCCTCCCGGAGCCCTGTGGCTGGCTGGCGAGGCGGCTCCGGTCCAGTTCTCCTCTTCACCATGCGACTCGTTGGTCCAACTCCCTGACACCTTCTCCATCCTCCTGTGTGCAGAGTCTCTATAGCTGTTTCGTTTAAAATAAACCTCACGACCTTTATCTGGCGAGTTTAGTGCATTCATATTTGTAATTTTATAATAATAATTATTATTTGTTTTTTTTTGTCGGTCGTGGGGCTTGAACTCTGGGCGCTGTCCCTCAGCTCCTCAGCTCAAGGCTAGTGCTCTACCACTTGGGCTACAGCGCCACTTCTGGTTTTTCTGGTGGTTAATTGGAGATAAGGATTTCATGGACTTTCTTGCCCGGGCTGGCTTTGAACCGCGATCCTCAGATCGCAGCCTCTTGAGTGTAAGGTCCGCTCCTGGATGACGAGCAGACTCCACCCCTTTCCACTCTCCTTGCAGCAAAGTCTCCATCCAGTACCTGTGTTACCTAGCTAGGATTACAGCCATGAGCCACCAGCACCCAGCTTATAATTATTTTCGATATTAATATTTGCTACTTTTCTTTGATTTTCTTCTTTTTAGACAGTGGCAAGTGACAAGTCTAGTTGCAGTGTTCTGGAGCTCTCTTTTCTCTCTTCTAGGCTTGCTGATCTTATTCTTTAAGTACTCCCCTTCCTGCCATGAGAGGGTCTTTTGTTCATTTTTTCATTTTTTGGTTGTAGGGCTTGAACTCGGGGTGTAGGCGCTGTCCTGGAGCTCTTTCACTCAAGGCTAGTGCTCACCACCTCATTTCCAGTTTTCTGGGAGTTAATTGGGCATAAGAGTCTCATTTCTTGTCCAGGCTGGCTTTGAACCACGATCCTCAGATCTCAGCCTCCTGAGTAGCTGGGATGACAGGCGCGAGCTGCCTGTGCCTGGCTGAGTTTTTTTTTTTTTTTTTTGTCGGTCGTGGGGCTTGAACTCTGGGCTTGGGTGCTGTCCCTCAGCTCTTCAGCTCAAGGCGAGCGCTCT